CCCCCACAAAAAGGGAGGGGGCGGGAGATTGCCAAAGTAGGATTTCTGGTTTCGGTTCCTGTCTCCCAGCATACCTTCATAAAAGATTATACTTTCAAATCCAAGCTGCTCAGTAGCATCCTTCACTCTTACCCTTGCAAGGCTAGAGGTGCCCAGCAACCACCACAGAAATGGAAGCACCCCCAACCCTCACGCTGGAGTGCTGCCTGCAGAACCTGCAGAGAGCACAGGCATCTCCTAGGGCATTGTGGTGGACAGCAAAGGTTTGCCAAGAAAACACCAAGGTGGGCTGGGGATGTGGCTCAAGCGGTAGCGCGCTCGCCTGGCATGCGTGCGGCCCGGGTTCGATACTCAGCACCACATACCAACAAAGATGTTGTGTCCGCCGAGAACTAAAAATAAATAAATAAATATTTAAAAAAAAAAAAGAAAACACCAAGGTGATCCTACAAATGCACACGTACAACAGAGCAGTGATCATGGTAATACTACTCTACTCGTAACAAAAACGAAAACCTTGACAGCACACTGGACAACCACACAACAGCACACACAGGCCGTCCACTGTGGTAAACTTAAGAGATTAACAAGAGGATGCATGTGCGCACGCACACACACACACACACACACACTCACACATACACACAGTGGAAACGCACGTGCAGATAAGTCTTCAGGATGCAACATCCTTGGTTTTCAGAACAGTGGCTGAAGAGGAATCAGGAGAAAAGCAGGTTGTGGAGCTTGGCTCTAGCAACAGGGCTGAATGGTTTCGTCGAGGACAGAGCAGCCCAGACCTCAGCGTCACCAACCTAGGCTGGTGGCCTAGGTGGGCAGGGTTCCACAGCTCACTGAGAGCCAGGACAACCCACAGGAGCGAGTCTACATATATGTACAATGGCCTCAGGCCACCAGCAGGGAGGAGGCCCACCACATAGCACGCCCAACACTGACCAAAGTTCTACAAAACGCATGATGGAAAACTGATAAATCAAAACCAAAAATGCAAATCTACTGCCGGGAGCAGTGGCACATGCCTGTAATCCCAGTGACTTGGGAGGCTGAGGCAGGCAAGTTTAAGGTCAGCCTCAGCAACTTAGCAAGACACTGTCTCAAAACAAAAAAATAACAAGGACTGGGGATATAGCTTAATGGTTGAGTGCCCTAGATTCAATCTCCAGTACCTAAGAAAAATACAAATCCATAGAGAAAACGGAAAACTCACAACTCTCTCTTCATAGTGACAGAAGGAGACTGAAACCTTAGGACGCAGGGAACCTGGGCCCTCACCCACCCTCACCCAACCTGTCGCTGCAGGGAAGCCCCACAGCACTGGACCGCGCTGGACTGCATGTCTGCCCCAGCTCACAGGTAGCATCATCAAGACTGCATTCTGGGCACAAATCAAAGTTAGAGCAAGCTCGATCACACAGGTGACATAACAGAAGCCCCCCGCGTGAGTGGCAGAACAAGATCTGAAAAATACACAAATATGTGGATGTCATTCCTAAGTGACCCACAGGACAAGGAGCAGCCACAGCAAATTAGGTACTTTTAATAGGATGAAAATAATGACAAATCAAATTCTGTGGGGCAGCAGTGCCCGTTGGCTGCAGAGCACTGGCCTAGTGGGCCCAGGGTCGGACCCGGCACAGGAAGGGAGTCTGCAGGGCAGCTGAAGCAGGGCTGTGAGGACAATGGTGGCATTAAAAAAAGAGTTTAATCTCTCACCTTAAAAACTAAAATAGAAACAAAATTCACCTGCAGAAGGCAAGAAATACCATCAGCGAAAGTCAAAGCTGCTCCCGAAGGAGAGAAAGAGCGTTAAGGAGTTTCTCTGGGCCAAGGGCTGAGGTGACACCGTCCAGGGAGCCACGTGGAGACCTTTTTTATTTTAACCACTGAGGATGCTCTGGCGCATGTTCGTGGAGGCCAGGAAGTGACCGAACACACCACTGCACAGCCTCAGACTCACGCAATGGGAGCCCCTCCAGGTGAGGGCACCACCAACACCGGGCCGGAGTTCGGCAGAGGGAACCCGCGTCACAGAGCTGGAGCTTCCCAACGCACGGGGGGCGGGGGGGGAGACAAAGAATGTTTTGCCAAACTCTGTGACCTAAAATCTGAATGTCTGGCTGAGCACATAGTGCACGTTCAAGCCCAGCTTCCTCACCTTAGCAAGACCCTGTCTCAAGAAACAGAAGGGGCTGTGGATGTGCTCAGCAGGAGGGCTCTTGCCTGGCCTGCTCAAGACCCGTAGAGCGAGCCCACGCATCAACCATGATCACAACACTGCATCGCGGCCAGGTGGGGCTATTCAACACTTGCAAACTAACGCACAGGAAAAACCATCGAATCACCTCAACAGATGCAAAAGTCTGTTCACATTTAAGCTTCTTGAAAATCTTAAAATATAACACCCGAGAACTTTCCCAGCCTGATGAAGGCACCTGCAAGGAACTCAGGCATCAAGCTGAGCCACTTGCTCCTCCAACTGCCAAGATGGGATCAAGCAGATTCGCGCCACTGCTCCCCCCACTGCTCCAACCCCAGGAGAGGAAAAGGTAAACACACGGGGAAAAAGGAGGAATAAAACTGTCCCAAGTCGCAGAGAATGCACGTATCTACACAAGAAAATCCCAGAGATTTCACCAAAAAGTTACTAAAATAAGTGAAGTTAGCCAGATCACAAGATAGAAAGTATGTAAAAATAAACTGTAAGCGCATGCACTAGCAATAAATAGAAGTTAAAATAAAAATTTAAAAAGCACTCTGTATGCTAACACCAAAGCCCATGAAAAGCATAGATCTTACAAACCACGTACAAGATCTGAACACTGAAAACCCCAAGTGCTGACCAAAGGCCAGGAGGAAGAGTCGGACAGCAAGACACAGAGTTATTAGGCTCCAGCCAGACCAATCCAGACTCAGCACAGTCTCCGTCAAGAGGCCCAGGGGCTCTGCCAATGAACTCACAGCTGAATGTTTTTAAATTTACATTTAAAAATAGTTGTAAAAAAGAATAATGAAGTTGGAGGATGCTTGTGACCTGATTCCAAGAACCACTGTACATCCAGAACTCGCAAGGCAACGTGACATCAGCAGAGGACGGACAAGTAGATCAGGGTAACAGAATATGCTCTAGAAACTGACAGATGCAAAAAGAACCCAAGGGGAAGACAATTTTTTCAAAAGGTGGTGCCATAAAACACGGGATGTCACTGTGCAAAAATTCACTGAAAAAATGGAAATGCACCTAAATTTAGAAATACAAAATTTTGTGAAACAGAAGAAAATCACTGTCACTTTTAGGTTAGAAAAAGATCTCTTAGATGACACTTAAGCACAATTCATTCAAGGGGAAAAATACCTCAATAAACTGGATTTCACCAATTAAACTACTTGCAAATCACATGACAAAAGGCTTCTATTCAATAACTTCATTATTAAAAAAAAAAAAAATCCAGGGCTGAGGGTGCAGATGAGTGGTAGAATGCCCCTGGGATCAATCACAAGTACCATTAAAAAAAGGAAATAAAGAAGTCGTCAGAATTCACTCAGTGTGTTGCCATGTAACTCCTAATGCCAATGGCAGTAAACTGTTCAGAACTGACTGTTAAGAACAAAATGTAAAGCTGAGGAGCACCTGCCTAGCATGTGTGAGGCTCTGGGTTCAATCCTTAGTACCATTTCAATAAAAAAAGGAAAAGAAAGAAAGAAAAGTAAAACAACGACATTCACTGAAACATGATCTCCCCCTAGCCCGCATACTGGGGACTGAACTTGGGGGTTGAGCTTCATTCCAGCCCTTTTTATTTTTTATTTTGAGAAAGGGTCTCCCTAAATTGCTGAGGCTGGCCTCAAACTCCTAAGCCTCCTGCCTTAGCCTCCCAAGGAGCTAGGATTTCAAGTATGCACCACAGCGCCTGCCACCATGACACAATCTAATACAGGCATACAGATATTCACATACTAAATTTATTCCGAATGCTTTATAAATGCTCCAGAACTAAGATGTATCATTTAAATAAAATAAACATATTAGGCAAATACAAAGTAGAATCACAATGATGAATCGTAACACACCCACTGAAAGTGACCGACACTAACAAGCAACACCCAAGTGCTGGCAAGGACGCGCAGTGACTGTGACTCCATATGCTCCTGACTAGAATGTAAAGCCCACAAAGCACTCTGGAGAAGTCTGGCACCTGCTGAAAACCTTAAAATACCTTCCAGCTACCCAGCTACCCATCCCGAGGAATCTGCTGGAGAGCAGGGAAGGCCGAGCCAAGACCTGAGGCAAAGGTTCCCAGCAGCTGTACTTGTGGTGACTTCGAAGTGGAAAAACCAAATGGCCTCCCAGAGACAAAAGGATGCCAAGCTGGTCCAGGCACATGGCAGTGTGACATTCTGCAGCGCAGTGGCATCTGACCCCACAGCACTGCCCATGACTCCGGGGAGGGGGCGAGTCCACGCTGCCCCCAGGCCAAGGAGCGCCATGTGTTTTAAGATGCCACTTGTGTAAATGCTGAGAAAATATAAACTGAATGACAGAAAACATGGTGGCTGCCTGAGGACAGGAAAGGACAGATTACAGAAGGACACAACAGAAGGACAAAACTCAAGGGGTGATGGACATCTCACTAACTGGTTGCAGTGAGGTGGTTTCTGAGGAGGCTCCTCATAACACCAACAAAAAGTTCACACTTTCAATATTTTCCACACATTTTATAAATATCACTGAAAACAAACTGAGCCCTAACTTTACCACAATTTTTGCTCGTCCATTTAAGAATGTTATTAGCTATTAAATTTTCCTTACAGATTATTTTACAACCCATTTTCTGGCTGTTTTATTCCTGTGACGAATTACAAGTGCATAAGCCAATGAAGCACCAATCAATTAAAAAAAAAAAATAAGAAATTTCAGTACAAAATAAACTGTTATTTTTAACCACTAGTAACATCCAGGAAGCAGAGCTGCGCACGGGCATTACCTTGGACGTTGTACTGATAGTAGTCAGGGTCTTCTGACTCCTCCTTGACCGTCACAGCTGCCATTTCCAGAGAAATGCCTATAAAAGCAAATGACATTCCAGGGCTAACGTCAGGGCGTCAGCCAGACTGTGCACAACACAGATATGACTCAACGATTCTGAAAGAACAAAAGGTTAAGAGATAGCAGGGTAGGAAAGAAAAATCAAACCGAAGTTTTAACAATTATTAATATTCTGAGAGTCTTTTCTGTAATTTTTCCCCATGAATTCTTGAAGAATATTGGTCCACTTACAATTGAGATACATAATTCGAGGCACATATTTAGGACCAGACCAAAGATTACATATTTCATCATTCCATTAACAGGAATGTCCAAATAGGCAAAAGAAATCTGTTGCTAAAACCATTAAGCAAGTGTGCCAGGCCTGGTGACATACACCTGTCATCCCGGCAACTCAGCGGGTCGAGGCACCAGGATCGCAGTGTCAAGGACAGCCTGGCCAATTTAGCTAGGCCCTCAGCAACTTAGTGAGACCTAGTCTCAAAGAAGACTGACAAAGGGACACAAGAAGCCAAGGCAGGCAATCAGGAGCAGTCTCTTAGACGGGAACATGCACTTGGGGACCCCCAGATTTTAGCTGTGGTGACGTGCTGGAGTGCACCCAGGAGGAGCTAGTCACAGCAGCGCATCCACCCTGCTCAGACTTTACTGGGTTCTCAGAGCAAATGCTGGACAAAAGGAACCATATTCAAACAGGTTCAAGCACTGAGCACTCATTCAAGAACCTCCAAGGGAACGATGTCACCGCACCCTTCTCCGCTGGGCAGATTCCGTCTGGCCTGGGGAGGGGAAACTCCCAGCTCCGGTGCTGGCAACTAACCATGTGTGGAACCACAGTGTAAAAGTGCCCCTGCCCTGCAAAGGCATCTGCCACACAGGAACACAGCAGGGAGCCGGCAGGCCAGAGGAGAAGGGACGAAGGGACGTGGACCTTCCTCTGGCTCCATGTCTGCTTGCTGTTTCTGTCAAGCTCACTCCTCCACACACGCCTGCAACACTGTCACAGCAGGCCCTTCTGGTTGCAAATGCCAGGCCCAGGCCTCCAGGTTTCCACCAATACCCTGGCAATGGTCCATGAGGCTATCGGGGCTAGGGAACGGCTCACAGTGGGACACTTGTGCAGCACACACCAGGTGTGGATGCAATCCCCAACACCACAACAATTTAAAAAAAGGCCCCAGGTGCCAGAAGATACATCAACTTAGAAGTCAAAATTAAAGCCCAAGCCAGGCGGATGGCACACACACAATGCCGGAGCTTCAGGAGGCTAAGGCAGGAGTATAGCAAGTTCAAAGTCAGCCTCAGCAAATAAGTGAGGCTGTGTCTCAAAGTAAAAAATAAAAAGGACTGGGTGTATGGTTCAGTGGTTAGGTGCCCCTGGGTTCAATCCCTAGTACCAAAAAGGGGGAGGGGACGGAACCCAAGGGTGCACTACCACTAAGCCACATCCCCAGCCCTTTTTATATTAAGACATAGCCTTGCTAAGTTGCTGAGGCTGGCCTTGAACTTTTGATCCTTCTACCTTAGCCTCTGAAGCCACTGGGATTACAGGTGTCTGCCACACCTGGCCTGATGGAATATTAAATCTGAAATTAACTATTTAAGATATTTGTTGAGTGATCTGAAAGCAGAGTGAAAGATCCACAGGCAGGCTCTGCAACACCAGAGACTGAGAAAAAAGTGACAACTGCTTCCCATCACCTGCAAGGGGTCAAACCCAGGAAGGCCACTACTGTGCTAAGACGGGAAGACTGTGCTTTATACAACTCAAGAGTCTGTGCCCACTCACACCCCATGGCAGTCTACTCACTTTCCTTAATAAGCAAACCTCGTGCATGCACTTTGGTGCTTCCCAGATGCCACGCACGGTGCAGACCACACTGCCAGTGACGATGCACTAGGTTTCTAAGTGAAAATTATATTTAAAAGTTGAAGTTGCTTGACTTTGAAATTGAAGAAAATTAGCACAGATGCAGAAAAACAAAACATGGTTCCAACAAAACTGAAATCTAATCAGGAAGAGCTATCATCTTAAATAATCAAAAATGGCTTTGCCCTAGAAATGGACCAAGGCAAGAAAGCAGGTAATAATAACATGATGGAGATCAGACTCGGATCTGAAAAATAAACTGCAAAACTCAACTCAACCACATGGAAAAAGCCAGAAAAGCAAAGCAGCAGCATACTTACATCTTCATTTCTCCAACATCGTAAATAAATAAAATCGAACTTTAAGCCTCCATGAAAGGCAGAGCTGTGGGAGTGGAAATGCCAGCATCATAGTCCTAGAAACCCGATGGAGGGTGGGAAGCAGAAGGCATGAGCGAGATGCATGGAGACAGAAGGTCTTTTAACAGGGAGCTGGTCCTCCACATGCAGAGCCAGGAATCCGCATGCTCCCTCCACAACCACCACTGAGGTACAATGGATCTCAAGACTTATATAAAAACTAAAATGATAAAACTTCATGAAGGAACAAAGCTTAAGTATTTGTGACCTCAGGCTGGGAAGCATTTTCTGCATACGGCCACAACATAAGCAATGAATGAAAGAAAAACTTGAAAAATAAATTTCATCAAAATGAAACACATTTGAGCCAGGCATGGTGGCAAACAAATGTAATCCCAGCTACTTGGGAGGCTGAGGCAGGAGGATCCACCCCAGCAACTCAACAAGAACCATCTCAAATTAAAAGCATTTGCCTAGCAACCATGAGACCCGGACGGAGTTCCATCCACATACCATCAAAAAAAAAAAAGAACAACAAAAAAATACTTGCAGGGCTAGGGCTGTGGCTCAGAGGCAGAGCTCTTACTTGGCATGTGTGAGGCACTGGGTTCAATCCTCAGCACCACATATAAATAAATAAATAAAATAAAGACCTATCAACAACTAAAGTAAAATTTTTTTAAATAAAGGTATTGTGTCCATTAAAAAAAAAACCCACTGAAAGAGTATAAGCATAGTATCTTAAATTAAGCAAGTAAATACCCAAGTTTACAGATAAAAATGGTTCTTTTGCAAGTATAAAATGGGAGAACAAAGGAAAGAGAGTAAGGGTATTATATTGATTTCTACAAAATACACTGTATAACCAGTTGACATTTTATATGCCTGTGTCACTGAAAAATAAAATTTTTATTATCAAATGGGTAACAAGCAATGAACGTCTGGCTACCGCTATTAACAAGTTCTTTGCGGATCTTGGTGTAACAGGACAACATCAAAAAACACTGTCACAGTTGAAAGATATTTATAGGGAATGCCCATTACACATCAAAATACAGTAATTTATCATTCAAATATAAACTTGTAAATTAAGGAACATTCATCTTTACTTTATAATTAATTTTAAAAGCACTAGTACATACCAGAATCTTCTGTGGGCTCCGTTTTCACTTTGATGGGGCCACAACTGAAAGAAGGAAGAAACGTGATCAAGCTGTGCAGTAGTGACAACCACGTACACTCCTCTCGAGTGCGTTCATAGTGGCACTATGATTCACAACTTCCAAGTCAAAAGAGGCATTTCCACAAGATCCCCAGGTGACGTGACTGCATACTGAACTTTGAGCTGTTTTAATATTCTAGTGACTGCATCAAGTACAGTAGTTTAATAGCAATGACCAATTATGCTTTACCTTCCACCTGGAGACAACAGGGACCTTTCAGCATCTGTTACCATCACACGACCACCTATGAACAAGAAAGAAATTAAATTTAGGTCTCCCAACCCTTTAAACATGACTAATGCTTCCAAAGGCTTTAAATACCGAATAATCTGGGGGAGGGCTGGATTAGTAAGTAGTATAGTAGCAACACAAAAGTGTATCTGGGCTTCCATATGAACATAGAGATGGCAGTCCTCTAACATCTTTCAACCACAAACCACCATCACCTTTCTTTTTATGAAAACACTCCTATTTTTGTCAGTGAAGTTAATACTAAAATATACCACTTATTGAGGAGGCCAGGAAAAGCCTGTGGGTGTATAAGGAATGATGATGATGTTACACTGTTATTAAGAATGGGTCTGAGGGGCTGGAGCTGGGGTAGAGCACTTGCATAGCATGTGTGAGGCACTGGGCTCAATTCTGAGCACCACATCAATAAAGAATAAAATAAACCTACATAAACATCTGGGGAAAAAAAGAAAAGTAGATCTGAGCCAGGTGCAGTAGCACATGCCCATAATCCCACTGGTTTGAGAGACTGAGGCAGGAGGATCATAAGTTTGAGGCCAGCCTCAGCAACTTAGCAAGGCCCTAAGCAACTTTAGAGACTCTGTCTCTAAATAAAAAATGCAAAAGGGCAGGAGATGTGGCTCAGTGGTTAAGCAACCACAGGTTCAATCCCAGGTACCAAAAAAAAAGTGTGGGGGGGTACTGCTCAATTTATAGCACTTGCCTACCATTACCAAGGCCCTGGGTTCAATTGTCAGTACTACAAAACCAAAACATTTTAAATCTGAATTTTAACAAAAACTCATCTTTCTCAATCTTAAGAGGTCATACAGAAAAACAGAGAGGCCAGTTAACTGCCAACCTAATGATAAAAACTGACAGCTTTCCTGCTGATACAAAGAACAAGATTTCTACTGTCACCATTATTGTTTGATATGAGTCCAGCCAAGGCAATAAGAAATAAAGGCACTCAGACTGCAAAGAAGAGGTGAATTGTCTTGATGCTCATATAGCACAGTTCTCTATAGAAAGCCCAGAAATAGAGTCAGGGTCATCTGACTTCCAACCAAGTTGCCAAGGAAACCCAGGGAGAAAGGACAGTCTTTCCACTAACTTGTTCTGAAATAACTGGATACACTCAAAAAAAGACTGATTAACACCACCCCCTCATGTCACATGCACACATTAAACCAAGAGTCGACAGACTGGGGCTGGAGTGCAGCTCAAGACAGAGTGCTTGCCTGGCATGGGCGAGGTCCCAGTTTCAATCCCCAGGCAAAGAAAAAAAGACTGATCTAAAGGTCAGTCCAAAAACCTTACAGGCAGCACATGCCTGTAATGCCAATAGCTCAGGAGGCTGAGGCAGGAGGATCAGGAGTTCAGAGCCAGCCTCAGCAACTTAGCAAGGCCCTAAGCAACTCAACAAGATCCTGTCTCTAAATAAAATATAAAAAGGGCTGAGGGTGTAGCACAGTAATGGAGAGTGCCTCTGGGTTCAACACCAGTACCACCACCACCACCACTATCACCATCACCAAATGCAAATCAAAGCCAAGATGAGATGCTACTTCACACCCATCAGAATGGCAAAAATACAAAACAAGCCAGCAGGGACATGGGGAACCTGGTACATCCACACTATTGGTAGAAACGTAAAATGGTGGAACCACATGGGTAAAAAGCTTGGCATTTTCTTGCAAGTGAAATGCAACTTTACCCTAAGATCCAGCAGTTCCAGTCCTACAAATATCTACAAGAGAAATGAAGGTACATGTCCAGACTAAAACGGGCTCCAGTATGTTTACAGCAGCATCAATGCTAATAGTGTGAACAACTGGAATGTCTTTCAAACAGAGAATGGATAAATAGGAGGTTCACTGCTACATTCAAGGGACAGTTGATATACTCAGTTGATACACTGCTGACTCTCAAGGTAATTAAACTCAGTTTAAAGAAAGAAAAAGCTCATCTCAAAAGGATATATGTTGAGCCGGACATGGTGGCGCCCGCCTATAATCCCAGTGGCTCAAGAGATTAAGGCAGGAAGATGGTGAGTTCAAAACCAGCCTCAGCAAAAGCAAAGTGCTAAGCAGCTCAGTGAGACACTGTCTCTAAATAAAATACAAAATAGTGCTGGGGGTGGGGCTCAGTGTTAAGAGATCCTGGGTTCAATCCTCAGTACCCCCCCAACACCCCCAAAAAAAGGATATACGTTGATATTCCATGACCATTCTACTCACGCACACTCTGAGCCCCAGCCCCAGCCCTTTGTATTTTTTATTTTTTAAAGACAGGGTTTCACTGAGTCACCCAGGCCTCGGCCTCCTGAGGAGCTGGAATTACAAGTGTGAACGCCCCACCTAGTGTTTGCTGTCTTTGTTTTCCTTTTTTTGGGGTGCTAGGGCCCCACACATGGTAGCCAAGCAATGGTCGGTCACTGAGCAACATCCCCATCCCTGTTTTAAAATTTTAAAGACTGCAAACTAACATCATGGAATTCTACATTTGAAATGACTGAGTTTCCAACTACACCTTAATAAAGATAGCAGACACAGTAGTACACACCCATAACTCCAGCTACTGGAGAGGCTGAGGTAAGAGGATCACAAGTTCAAGGCCAGCCTGGGCAATTCAGCAAGACCTTGTCTCAAAGTAACAAACACTAAGGGCTGTGGATGGAACTCGGTGGTCAGGTGCCACCAGGTTCAATCCCTAGTACTGCAAAATTAATCGTTTTTCACCATTATAAAAATATTTTAAAAGATTGTATAACAGAGAACAAAATACATATGTGAGTATGTACACACGACTCTTTCTTTGCATTCTGTTAGAGGTTTCCAGTGATACTGGTTATCTTTTTTTTCTTTTAAATATCTTTATTTTATTTTTATGTGGTGCTGAGAATTGAATCCAGTGCCTCATGCATGCTAGGCGAGCGCGCTACCACTTGAGCCACATCCCCAGCCCCAGGTTATCTAACTTTTGAAAAGTCTCAAATAACTGGCCCCACAGCCCACGCCTATGATCCCAGAAACTCAGGAAGCTGAGGCAACAGGAGTCTCTCTTCAAAGGCAATGGCCACATGCTCCTAAAGGAAGTCCTGCTGGACTCCTCCTCGTTCTCCCGGGCATGTCTCCCGGCCCTCACTGAAGCCCTTGCTGAACTGTGAGGGATCCTGCCTCTGCTGTGCTCCTCTAGACCGGCACCTGGTGGGGAATGTTATTTCTCACCACAATTGTCACCTGGACGTGTCCCTCCAGCAGATGACAAGCACTCAAAAGTTGTTTTTTTCTTTTTTTTTTTTTAATTGTCTTTTTAGATGTTGATGGATCTTTATTTTTTTCATTTATTTATATGTGGTGCCAAGAATCGAACCCAGTGCTGCACATATGCTAGGCAAGTGCACTAACACTGAGCCACAACCCAATCCCAAGCACTCAAAAGCTTTAATGCTGTACGCAATTGTATCTTCCTTGCTGTCCGATTCGGTGCCCAGTGATGTGTTGCCATTTCAATGAACATAAGGTAAATTTAAGTCCCACTCACATTCCAAGCAAGAGGAACAGATCCAGTAGACGATCTTACCCACTGCCAACATAAAACCTGGTCCAGCACAGAGCAATGAGCAGAAAATATAAAACTAGCCTCTACTTTTTCAGCTCATGAATCTTTCACTGTTTACTCAGAAGACACCACTCCCAAGTGTCCTAAACCACAGCCTCAAAGAGAATAAGGGAGAAAGCATCATGATGTATCAAGATCTGGCAAAGGGGACCTTGAGACCCAGTCGACTGTCGTGTGAACCAAGCAGTCACTTACCCAGGTGTTTCCTTGGCTCTAGGAAGGGTCTGCATTAGAACAAAACACAAACCATGTATGAGCACACAAGAGTCTTATAAAGCACAAATATAGATATCTGCATTAAACAATTTAAAAACTATTAAAATGAAGTGAATATTCAACTTTATGTGAATAAACTGTTGATGGGCCAGAAGGAGGAAAGCACATCACCTCTTGATGATAAAGGAAATCCCTGCTTTGTTCTCCAAAATCCATTTCAGGGTTGCAAGGTCATAATTTTCAGGGTGTTTGAAGGCGACTCCCTCTGGAAGGCCCTGCACTACCACAGCCGACTGGTCTCTAAGCATCTTCTCATACGGGACAGGCACCACCGTGGATTTGCCTAAGGCTTTCCCTGAGGAAGGAGTGAAGAAAATAAACATCATTAAATGACTAAGAGTAAGAAACTATCAAAAGCTTATCACCAGGGGCAGGAACCGGGTTCCATTCTCAGCACCACATAAAAATAACAGCATTGTGTTGTGTCCATCTTAAAAAAAAAAAATCTCTTTAAAAAAAAAAAAGCTTATCACCAACTAATAAATAGCATTCGTGACACTTTGTAGTATCTCATTATAAAATTACTTTGAAATACTACAGGGTCCTAGTCCTGTTAGTTTTACACATCCAAAGGGTCGAAATTTAACCCTCAATTTACACAAAAGGAGAGCAAAAATGACTGATTTCTTGCAATATTCTGTCATAAGATGGTCCATGCTGGTTTAACACATTCTGGTCATATGGAACTCAGTTTCAGGACATAAAAACCTGACAAATCCAACTATTTCCATAAGATAACTTGAAAAATTTCAGCTAATATTCTGAACCCTTAAGTAGGTAAATAAAACTACAGATACAACCGAGAAGGTGTATCTGTCAGCCTGTCTGTGCTGACCAGTGATGAGCCCCAGACTGAAGACTCAATCTACAGAGCAGCTTTGCCGACACCGCCCCCCCCCCTTTGACTATTTCCTTTGACGTGCTTTTCAGAACACATGATTAACAGAAGGCGATTTTGCAGGAAATTGGGGAGATCAGCATTACTGTCAAAAAGGAACAACTCTAAAAGCTACACTTGATTCTGGGTTCCTTGAAAATGGAAACAGAGGTTCCAGGGGCCTGGGAGGCAGAGGCAGAAAGATCACAAGTTCAAAGCCAGCCTCAGCAACTTAGTGGGGCCCTGAGTAACTTAGCAAGACCCTTTCTCAAAATAAAAAGTGAAAACAAGGCTGGGGATGTGGCTCAGTGGGTAAGTGCCCCTGGTTCCAATCCCCAGTACCAAAAAGAAAATGGAGGTCTGAGATGTGACTCAGTGGTACGTACGGCACCTCCCTGGCATGCACAGGCCCTGGTCTGTCCCCAGCGCTGCACACCCAGGGAAATGGAGATGCAAAGAAATGCTGTTTCTACTTTCACCTCATATCTGGGAATCAACCTGTTCAATCTATAAGAACGTGTGCAAGAACTGCTGATCCAAGGACATCATCTACCATTTAGAAAACTCCCACATGATGTGTCTTACAAAATCAAGGGGCATGGCTTTTACCATAGCAAAAGCAGAAATAGTCCTCAACTGTTTTCCTGAGCGTCTCGATCTCTACGGCGTCCACACTCATCCGGCTGGCCTGAGGTGTGGACTTCATCTTATGCATCTCGGCTGCCTTTTCTTCTTCTTCAACACCTGGAAAACAATGGGTGACGTGAAGGCCATGACTCTCATCCCACTATCTGGCTGCTAGTAGGAATATTTTTCCTGTATTCTAACATTTACGATGAAGACAAGGATAAAGAGGAAACGTTTAAAATAAAAACCTAGAAGACTTGCATGAAATTCATATGAAATGGCAAACAACTCTGATGTAAGCGTAAACTAAAAATACTGCACATTAGCTACTAGCGGTTTAAAAAAAAAAAACATAAATAATTTATTAGTTAAAAAATCTAAATCATCACAAAAAAATTCTAGATGTGCAAAGTCAAACTCAAGTCCACAAGATACCATGGCACTGAGGATGTGGCAGGAGAGACCAGGGTGTGTGGTGAGCGCCAGCACAGCGGGTCTCAGGGACGCGGGCTGGTGCCCAGCAGGGGAGGCAGGCCTGCCAGCACGCACCCCGGCTCCAGCCTTCAGCTACAGCGAGATCACCTCCTCAAGAGGTCTAGATTCCGCTCCATGTTGAAATAATACTTTAGATAGTAAAATTACATTAAAAAAAAAAAATCACAAAAATGTGGGGCTGTGGCTCAGTGGTAGAGCACTTGCCTAAAATGTATGAGAGGCACTGGGTTTGATCCTTGGCACCACATAAAAATAAATAAAATAAAGGTATTGTGTCCATTTATAACTAAAAAATTAGTTTAAAAAATCACTAAAATGAATTTCAGTTCTTAATTTTAATGTCACCCCTAGAAAACTAAAATTACGTGACATATATTTATTTGGACATCACTTCTCTAAATACTAGGAAAGGGACTCAACTCTCCTGAAGAATTTCTAACACTGACTCCTTGTCCTATTTATTAGGTTTCAGAAGACCTCAGTTGCTCCTTATCTGCAAAACCCTGTTATGAAAACAAACGCAGACTCCTGGTGTTCCACTCCTCACCTTTCTAAGGGCACGGAAGTGTACCCAAACCACCACTCCAGTTCTCATTTTCAATACAGTGTTTAATAAACGACATGAATACATCATGCTTCGTGTAAGACAGGCTTGGTGTGAGGGGATTTTGCCCAGTGGGGTGGCCTGGGCAAGCTAAGTGCCCCAGGCATATCTAAGGCAGGCTGGACTAACTGGGTGTGTAGTGAGTATTAGACAGTTTGGACTTAACAATACATTCAATTTATGATGGGATTATTGGGATATAACTCCATCCTAAATTGAAAAAGACCGCCTGCATTAGGAACTTAAGAATGACATCCAAAGAAAATTCGCCAGAAAATACTGGGGAAGGGCAGGGGTTAGGTCACGGGTGTATTGGGGCATACCTGTAACCCCAGGCAGGAAGATCAAGTTCAAGGTCAGCCTTGAAAAGTTAGCAAGACCCTAAGCAACTTAATGAGACTGTCTCAAAAAATAACAAGAAGTATAATGATGTCACTGGGAAACAAAGCAGGGGGTCATCTACTTCAGAACATTCAAAAAAGCATGATAGCATCCTATCTCTTTACTCTGGGGAGCAATCAGGAGGTGAAGACAGTCCTCTGATCATCCTCTGATCTGGAGTCAGGAAATGAGAGGGAGGGGACCAAAGATGTCCAGGATGTCCTCAGTGGTGCGAACACCAAAGGGCTGCAGATAACCCTAATCCTCAGCTAGCCCCTGAAACACCATAGGAGTAAGGATGTATGCGGAAGAGAGTACACGCACAGCCGCAGTGAGATCAGAGCACTCATGGGCAGATGGCAGCTGAGGAGCACCAATCAAAACAGCATCATCAGTATAAACTTAAATAGATAAACAAAATCGAGCCCTTAATGTTCAAAACCAGTATCAGCAAAAACAAGGTGCTAATAAGCAACTCAGCAAGACCCTGTCTCTAAATAAAATACTAAATAGGGCTAGGGATGTGGCTCAGTGGTCTACTGTCCCTGAGTTCAATCCCTGGTGTCAAAAATAGACAGATCAGAATTACAACTGGGAGTGAAAATACATACAGTGGTGGGCTGTATGCTTTCCCCCCTAGGGCTTGCCAGGGTTCAAACCCAGGACCTTACGCGTGCCAGGGGAAAGCTCTACCACTGAGTCTCATCCCCAGCCCTAGACACATCTTTCTTGGGGGGAGGAGATGATATGGGAGATTGAATCCAGGGCCTCCCACATACCAGGCAAGTGTTCCGTTCCACCACTGGTCTACACTCTTTGGACTTTTGAAAAGGATTAAAAATGCAATTGAGCACCTAAGTTAACAAATTAAACCTGTTTGTATTCATTCCTGATCTGCCACAGGTGTTGTGGATTGGATCTCAGAGCCTGTGCTTGGCTGTGAGCACTCCCTCCTTTCCTCTCCTCCTTCTGTGTTTAAGACACGTTGTCACGCGAATGTACGCAGGCTGAACACTTAACACAACACTCACACTGTGCAAGTGTGCGAGGATTAACACCTCTGACAACTTTTGCTACTGTTCTCACTCCAAAGTCAAACAAGCTCCCTGAGGCCCCTGAAGGAAAGAAGACAAACTCCATGAAGACACAGTCAGGAGCGCCTACCAGGCGACGTGGGCAGTGTGGGGAGCCCGGCTTCACTCTGCTCCACGCTCAGGCTCAGCTCCATTGAGACACTTGTTTCCCACACACCAGGCATTTACCACAGCAGGAAGGGCCAAAGGAAGGCCACATCTTGGCATAGGCCTGAACCTCAGAGCTGAGCGGAACAAACCCCTTACGCTGAGCGGTGGCTGAGCAGCAGAGCTCACCAGGAACCAGCCAGGCCCTGGGTCTAGGGAATGGGGCGAGGAGGGAGGAAGGGGGGACCTGCTTATCTGAATAAGACTTAACCGCCAGGGTTGTGGCTCAGTGGCAGAGCACTCGCCTAGCATGAATGAAGTACTGGGTCCGATCCTCAGCACCACGTAAATATAAAATAAAGATATTGTGTCCCCCCTAAAACTAAATACTAAAAAAAAAAAAAAAGACTTAACCAATTCAGAACTTCACCTTCTTTCTAATGTGTTCTCACAATCCAGAGTAATGCCTCACTAGGAACATAGTACATCAAACAATTACCATTTTTCTTAAACTCTTCAGTATTTGCACCAATATATTACCATGTCAGTGATTCAGTTTGAGCATCTTGAAATGTTTCCATAAACATGTCAGGAAGGTTTTGTTTTGGGTTTTGCTTTTTTTGTATGAATCTCTTTCTGCATTAGAAAGAAAATACGATGTCTTACCTATAAGTATATTTAAAATTTACGAGATACTAAAGAAAAAAAAAAGACATTGCTTACAGTATTTTACAAAATCTTTCTGGAAATCCTTTCTGGAGTTGACGAAAGCACGACCCCTCTCGGTTCCGACCACAAACACGTCTGTCTCGTATACCGCGATGCAGGCCACTTCCGCCTTGGACTTGGCCAGCTCCTTACACTGCAACACAAGCAGCGAACGCTGTACGTCAAGAGCTGTTGGAGTACAGTGTCTGCAGGCTGGACACAAGGACCTCGTGCTAGAAACCATCCTCTGCCCTGTGAGGGGGATGGCACCCAGGGTACCCTATCACTGACCTACAGTTCCCAGGTTTCTTTCCTATTTTTCATATTGAGACAGGACCTTGCCAAGTTGCCCAGGCTGGCCTTGACCTTGCAATCCTCCTGCCTCAGCCTCACGTGTTGCTGGGATTACAGGTGCCACCACAACCATCATAAAAACTTTTAATGCATAATCGGGAGGGAAATTCCTCTCTAATATCACATACAGAAGTGTCTCCATTTTAATGTACCTATCTTTGTAGGTAATTTTCATAACTAGTTCCAAGCAGAAGAAAACACAAGAATTTTTAAGGAAAAAAGCAGAAATATTCTGCAAACTGCTATAGATGAGATTCTTTAAAAAAGAGATTTCATACATTCTTGCTGGGGAATTTTCTCCATCACATCTGAGAGGTACAGGAGAGGCAGGAGTGGGTAGAGCTATGAAGGAATAGCCCTGGAGGAGTTTGGGAGCTGGGGTACCCTACCAAGGCAAGGGCTGAGATGAGCAAGGGGACTCTAAAGCTAAATGCAACTGTGAGAATTTAATGGCATCAGCCCTGAAATAGGAAGCCAGGGGTTCTAAATCCCACTCCATTAACACCCACTACAGAATTTCACCTCCAGAAATTTTTAGGAGTGCATACTCAACTGAAACCACATCGAGGTGGGTATGCTACCTACTAACTTCATATGCACCCTTTATACGCAGGGTCTGGTGGTGGTACCTGTGATCATGGCAATTTGGGAGGCTGAAGCAAGAGACTCGACTTGAGCCCAGGTGTTCAAGGCCAGCCTGGACAACACAGCAATATCCATCTCAAAAAGCACACAAAAAAGCCCATTTTACAGATGTATGATTCATTTAGTGCTAACATTACTGAAAAGGCAGCTAGATTCCATTTTCTCTCCTAAAAATAATACTGCAATAATAATCTGGTAAGAAAACATTCATATGCAACTTGAAAAATTTTCTCAAGAATCAGTGCCACTGCTGGGCGCGGTGGCCCACACCTGTCATCCTGGTGGCTGGGAGGCTGAGAAAGAAGGATCATGAGTTCAAAACCAGCCTCAGCAAAAGCAAGGCGCTAGAAAACTCTGTGAGACCCGGTCTCTAAATAAAACACAAAATAGGGCTGGGGATGTAGCCCAGTGGTAATGTGTCCAAGTCCAATCCCTGGTACCAAAAAAAAAGAATCAGTGGCATGAAAGAGAGCAAGAACTAACACTGGAAACATAAACACTGTCAGGATTCTTACCATCTACTGAAATCTGCTTTCTAAGAAGGTTCACCTCATTCTACCAAATGCCAGTGTGCAACTATGCTAAAAATCCTAATATCATAACCAATACTCCTCTGGTTGGTAATAAAATTAATGAGTATTGTGGTCTAATTTTCTGCAAACTATCATATCCTTTGCCCATCTTTCTACAGTATCAGGATTTCAAATTTGTCTTAGAGTAATTATTTTTCAGTCTAGAATTTACCTTGAAACATGATGATTCCATAAACTGAAGCTTTTTTCCCTAATAGCTTATTGTTTCAGTATCATTTATTAAAAACTAGCTTTCTTCTGTTTTTGGTTTATACAATAATCAATCTCTAATTTTCTAAGTGGAAGTAATTTCTACATAATACTTAGTTCAGCCAGGTGCAGTGGCACACACCTATAATCCCGGCAGGTGAAGAGGCTGAAGCAGGAGGATTGCCAAATTCAAAGCCAGCCTCAGCAATTTAGCAACGCCCTAAGCAACTTAGTGAGCCCATGTCTCAAAAGTTAAAAAAAAAAAAAGGCTGGGAATATGGCTCAGTGGTAAAGTGTCCCTGGGTTCAATCCTTACTACCACTACCCCCCAAAAAAAGAACTTACTAAAACAGCTGGGTATAAAGAACTGAGTTTTATGAGCTTTAGCTCATAAAAAAAATAAATAAAAAATAAAATAAATAAATATATAAAATTTTTTTTATAAAAATAAAAAAAATAAAACTGAGCTTTAGCTGGAGGGGTAGTTTAAGGGAACTGATGAAGGGTTAAAATCCAGAAAGAAGAAAAAAAAAATTGGGGAGTGATGTTCATGAAGTTACAGCATATGACCATACACCATTCTTACTTTTCTTCAAGAGGTAACTTTAATTTTTTCCTTGTGGTGCTGGGGATCAGTCCTAGGGCGTTGCCCATGCTAGGTGAGTACTCTACCACTGAAATACACCTCCAGCCAGAATGGGCTAAGGATCTGTCCAGTGGTAAAGTGCTTGCCTAGCACACATGAGGCCCTGCGTTTAATGCCAAATACCACAAAACATACACACACACACACCCCCCAAAAAAAAAAAAACAGTAAAGGAAGAAAACAATGCCCTAATGGAAAACAAAAGAGAATCTACCAGCAGGAGGCAATGGCACAGCCTATAATCCCAACAGCTCAGGAAGCTGAGGCAGTAGGATCACAAGTTCAAAGCCAGCCTTAGCAATTTAGTGAGACCCTAAGCAACTCAGCAAGACCATGTCCCTAAATAACATATTTAAAAAGGGGCTGGGATGTGGCTCAGTGGTTAAGCACCCCTGAGTTCAATCCCCAGTACCAAAAAAAAAAAAAAAGATGATACACTAACACTATCAACTGAGCCCTGTGAGGTATCTGGTGGTGGTCAGCCACTTAAAACAGGGAAAATGCACAACTTCTTCCAGCTTGGAATATTTCATTCTAGTTTGTCAGAAATACCTAAGTCTGATGTGTTTTGAATCAAATATTTTCTCTCCAGCTATAAGCCTATAAAAACATAATAAACAAATTGTACATGTACATCTACTGTCCTAGAAATATAAAAACACAGCAAGAATATACTTAAAATTTCATTATAATTGTGTGTGGTAGAAAAAAAACCTGAGTAAAGAGTTAACACATGAGCTAGGAATGTGGCTCAGTGGTAGAGTGTTTGCCTAGCATGCGTGAGGCCCTGGGTTTAATCCCCACATCACCACCACCACCACCACCACCACCACCACCCTAAAAAAAAAAAAAAAGCACACAGTACAAAATTTAAGAGACAGTGGCAGAACAGAAACAACTGTGTAAATGCATAATAACCAAGATGATGAGACAGAGAAGAGCTACGGGCCTTATGGCCCAAGATCTGAGTGACCCACACACAGGTGCAATGAAACACCAGCAGCACACACCATGAACTTATTTGGAACAATTTCAAATATTATGAATAAATTCAAAGTTAACACTTGCAAAACAATGGATCGTCCACAAAAACTGGCAATAAATGTAAACAAATATTCAAGGACATTCTGAAGCTCAGTAATAAAATGTGGTTTCAAAAGCTTAAATTTATAACAAGTAAAAAAAACTATTCTTTTTAAAATCAAATTTAATGTTTTATAGAAAACAAATCCACCTTATCCAACAGACCAATCCTATCCAACTATGGCAGAACCACAGACCACCTCACCATGGACTCGAGGGCAGACATGAGGAAGGTCACCACCATCCTGCTCTCCGAAGACTCCTCATCTTCAACGGGCAGGGTAGACATCGCTACCTGGGCCATGATCCCTGTGCAAAAGAAGCAACATGGACGTGAGTGACAGAAACCAGGGTCTCAGCACACTTCAGAGCTGTGAGGTGGCCATCAATTGCTTAGTTTCCCTTCTTCAGTCATCTACTTTCCCCAAAGCTTTTACCTCAAAGGGACCCTACCTCTTCACATCCCATCTACCATTAATTATTTCCATGAACTCAGCTTGGCATCCCACCCAGACTAAATCCCGAGGACGCCCAGCTGGGCTGGGGTGCAGCTCAGTGACAGGCAGAGCACCTGCCTCCATGTGCAAGGCTCTGCGTTCAATCCCCCAGGACCAACAAAATTTTTAAATATCAAAGTGCATAAATGCACTCTACTGTCATGTATAACTAATTAAAACAAACAAACAACAACAACAACAAAAAACAGAAGGTGCTCAGAACTGGTTAAAATTCTCCCAGTGGGAGAAAGAAGAAGAGGTGAAACTTCCCACACGGGGACACTCTACCAGGATCCAAACAGCAAGAGACACAAAGTTCTGTCCTGCCCTCCCCTCCTGCAGTGCACAGGAGTGGGTGAAGTGGCTAGTCTGGTGAAATTTTTACTAGAAAAGAAAGAATCCGCAGGGCTTCAGGGAACTCTAAGTGTCTTCTACCATAAAGATTATTTTTCTCATTAGGAAACATTTTCTGATACTTTTGTATTAGCAAAAATCCTCTGATGAATGTAAAAACCATAAAACACAACATATTAAAAAAATATGAACTGTTGCAAAGACATGCAGGAATGGGAACCTTCATGCATCTTGCTTGCAATGTAAAAGGGTGCACAGCTGCTGTGGGAAACAATTTAGCAGTTCCTACAAAGATGGAGAGGATCATCACATCATCTAGCAACTTCACTTCTGGATACACACACAAGAACTGAACACCGGGGCTCCAGCACCTACATGCACCTACATTCACAGCAGCATTTTCACAACCATCAGAAGGTGAAACAACCCAGAAGTCCATACAGAGATGAATAAACAAATGTGCCGTATGCAGATATGGAGCACTACTCTCAGCCTTCAAAAGGCAGTCTGATGCAGCCTTCCACACAGTAAGTCCTGGGAGCGCTGCACTAGTGAGCGGATTAAGTCAGACACAGGACAGCTTCTATATGTGTGGCGACTGGAAGACTCAAATTCAAAGAACGGTGGGTGGGGGGTTAGCTGGGCACAGTGGCGAACACCTGTGATCCCAGTGGCTCAGGAGGCAGAAGCAGAGAAGATAGCAAGTTCAAAGCCAGCCTCAGCAATGGTGAGACACTAAGCAGCTCAGTGAGACCCTGCCTCTAAATAAAATATAAAATAGGGCTGGGATGTGGCTCAAGTGGTCAAGTGCCCCTGAGTTCAATTCCCCGTACCCCACTCCAAAACAATGGTGGGTGCCAGCAGGTGAAAGAGACAGTAAAGGGGAGTTATTGATTAACAGGGGCAGAGAGTCAGTCGGGAATGATGAAAAGCTTTTTTTTTTTTTTTTAAATGTGGTGCTGAGAATGGAACCAGCGCTCTGCACATGTTGGGCGAGCGCTCTACCACTGAGCCCCAGCCCAGCCCCATGAAAAGCTTTTGAGATAAGACAGTGGTGACAGCTCCCTAGCAACATGAATACACTCAATGCCAGTGAACTGTACGATCACTAAAAGTGAACACACAAACTTTTACAATATGTATATTTAACCAAAGTAAAATTAAAAACCTACATAAACACACTCGAAGGCAAAATCTGAAACAATTTTTAAAATCTGGTTTCCTATAAATAGTATGTAAATTAGACGCGTGTTAAAACTATTTCTTGCATTTTAGTTAAATTAACCAATTTTCCAGATCAAGTAATAAAATAAAACAATATACAAGGATGATGGAAAAATTAAAAGACTAGAAACATAATGGGAATCTAAAAACATGTCTGCATGTACATAGCTCACTGGAAACACCTGAATATCTGACACCAAACCTCAATACTCAGAGGACCCTGACAAGCACTGGCAGAGCTGGGAGCAGGCATACACCTTGGCCTAAAAACATGTCAAACATCCCACAAGGACGAACTGTTTCCTTGAAGTCTGCAATCCAGATTTAACACCTGTTACCAAAAGAAGCAACTGCCAAGCCAGACTTTAGGCTTCAACAAATAATGAAGAATACATACTTAGGAAATATATCTTTAAAATAAAAATCAGGTGCAGTGACATACACCTATAATCCCAGTGACTTGGGAGGCTGAAACAGGAGGATCTCAAGTTCAAGGATAGCTTTCAATGCATAACAAGACCCTGTCTTGAGAAAAAATTAAAACTGCGGGTGTACCTCGGCAGTGGAGTCCCAGTAGGTTCAATCCCAGTATAACAAATAAACAAATAAAAATCAACTGACACTTATTCCCCCATATCTGTGGACAAATAGAAGTAATTTTGTTTCTCAAAACAAGATTCTGCTTTCTGGAAATGGGTGCACTGGATGACTAGAGACAGAATCAGACAATGCTTCAGACAGGCAAGTGGCTGGATCCCGGAAGCCGCATTCTTTTCTCTTGGATAAGGAAGCCTCAGTAAGTTGTATTAAAATATGGTTTAGTCAAAACAGACATCAAAGGCCTATTACTTTTCAATAAGACACTTGTTAGAATACACTGTCATTATTTCTGAAAACACATATTTATTCATATTCTCACTTTTCCTTTAATTTCCCAGCAAGAGAAAAGAGAGATGTGTTCCCATTTTACAAATGCAGTGATTCTCCAAGTCACAGAGCCACTACCAGAGTCAACACATGAAACCAGACAACTTTCTGCCGACTGTTGTCTCCCTTCTCTCAGGGCACACACAGGCAGTCCAGCTCCATCACTGGAACTCCTGGGGCCAGACGGCCAAGTCACAGCAAGAAAGAAAGCACCTTGGAGGTGCCAGCTCAGTGGGGACATGGGAGGCGGCCTGTTGCTCAGAGCTGTCCACTCTCCTCATGGTGCACCGGGTGACAACAGAATCTCACTGGGCTGCTCTTGGCCGATCCCAAGAGGCCACCTCCCTGGAGAGGGCTCAGTTGGGACCATGCATGGAGCACTGGCAGCTAACTATATTTCCCCTCTCTCTTTCCCAGAATCTGCCAGCCAGCACTCCCCAGAGGGCACAGCAGGCAAGCACAATGCTCTGGTCCTCCAAGAACCAAAGCCATAGAGCTGGTTCTGAGCTCACCACACCACCAGCTGCAGCTCAACCACAGGGGCTGCCAGCGCTCACTGCCTCTTGTGTAGACAAATACCTGATCGAGCACTTACCAGGAAAGTTCCTTTCACCTCTCACCTTTTTCGAATGTTCTCTCGACTTCACATACAAGAGGAAAGCCTCAAGGTGGCACACATCTGTAAGATCATAAGTTTGAGGCCAGCCTGGGCAACTTGGCAAGATGCCGTCTCAAAATACAAAGGACTGGGGTGTGGCTCAGTGGCACAGTGTCTGCCCAGCAGGCACAAGGCCTGGGCTCCATCCCTAGCACAGCAAAGGAGGAAAGGAAAGGTCTGGGCTGGGAATGTAGCTCAGTGGTGGAAAACAAGAGGCTGGCCAGACAAGGTGGCACACAGCTGTAACCCCAGCAATTCAGGAGACTGAGGCAAACTGGAGTCCAGACTGGGCAATTCAGTGAGGCCCTGTCTCAAAACAAAATAAATAAAAAGGGCTGAGAATGCAGCAGAGTACCTGCCTAGCACCCAAAGGCTCTGGGTCTGCCAAAAATCAAAGAAGAGCCCATGAAACAAAAATTTAAAGCAAGAAAAATGGGGCATTTTGTTCTGCACTCAGAAGAAATGCAGCTAGCATGATTTTTATTCTGAACTTCATCAACAACTCCTTGGAACAAAAAGGAAAAAAAAAAAAAATCAAGGAAACTATTGTGGACTCCATAAAACCTTAAATACAAAGAGATGGATCCCAGCCAGGCACGGTGGCCCGTAATCTGTGAACCCAGCTACTGGTAGACTTGAGGCAGGAGGATGGAAAGTTCCAGGCAAGGCTCTCTTTTAAATATAGAAAGGGGGGCTGGGGTTGTGGCTCAGTGGTACAGCGTACGCCTAGCACATGCGAGGCCCTGGGTTCGATCCTGAGCTCCACACAGATAAATAAAATAAAGATATTGTGTTCAACCACAACTAAAAAAAAACAAATATTAAAAAAGGGGGCGGAGGGGGTGACTGGGAATGTGGCTCAGTGGTTAAGTGATCCTGAGTTCAATCTCTTGCACCAAAAAATAAATAAATATAGAAAGGGAAACTGAGCCAAGATGGTTCACAGGTAAGCACAGCGTCAGGCTTTCAGCTCCTCAGTACTTAACACAAGGTACTCACTGTCCCACTGCGCAGCTTGATAATGGAGAGGTGGTGAGGGAGGGGGGGTGATCTCACTGTGTAAGGCAGAAAATCAGTCATCAACAAACAACCCAGAGTATCCGGTCCAGAGATGACCTATCAGACATGTCAGCTGACAGCCACTTCAGTCAGTTAAATTAAGATTAAATGACAGTTCAGTTCCTCAGTGGCACTGGCCAGTTTCAGTGTTCAGAAGCCACATGTACCTATATATAGAACACTCTCATCACCACAAGAAGCTTTACTGGACTACTACAGAGATTAAACTTTACAAATACATTTATAAAAATCCTCATGACCCCGGAAATTGTAGTGAAAGGATCAAACAAGGGCATATAAGCCAGCAGAGTCCAGCCCAGCTCCCATGAATTCTTCCCATAAAACCTCCAGGGATTCCTGGTCCAAGAGTGCACCTACGGGAAAAAGACCTGGTGGGCAGGCTCCTTGAGAAAAGGAACAAATGTTTCACAGTATGCTAAGGACATACTGTGGGACACAGATTCTCAATATAAATTAATAAAATCCCAAAGAACCCAAACACTCTCAGTGTCAGGAGCAGGCCTCCAGGATCCACTACACCTGCTACCTGCCAGATTGTAGATTTCTTCCTCCCAGAAAAGCACCACTTAC